CAATAGTTTCATCTGGACAAAATAATGTACAATTATTTATATTGCACTTTTTATACAAGAAATTCTAATAAATACACACACATGATACATTTACATAACATACAAAGACATTCTCTCTCTCTCTTTTTAAATAAATGTTGCATTGATTCATAGCAACACAGTAATTCAGAGACCCATCTGAAAAGAGAGCGAATTCTCTGCCAGATACATTTTGGAAAGCCCAAAACAGAAGGCAATTTAAATCTGGCGGACCTGACATTGACCTCATCAGAGAACTTCCAGACTTGTTTTAAAATATACAGGTAATAAAAAGCTGCAACTTATCAATGCTACCTTCAGCACACATTTTACGGTTAAATACAAGCCAAGAATCCACTACAAACACACCCAAGCCGCAGGTCTGGCCTTTTATAGTGCTTGTTCTCAACCGAACCCTCAGAACTGAAGAGTCCACCTACCCACTCTGAAGATGTTTGGGGTACAAAAATCATCATCTCCTTTTAATGATCCCATAATCCCTTTGTGGGGTGGAGTCAGGGCAACTGAGTGGAGCAGAGTGTTTACTGGCCGGATGCCCTTCCTGTCATCAAAGCGGAATTTTATTCAGCAGATAAATTCTCGTGCCCAGAGAGAAATATCTGCCTCTATCTAGGATCAAACTCACAAGTTCCTGTTGTGAGGCCACCCCACCACTCGTGAGGGGTACAAAAATGTGCACCACAAATCATGATCTTGTTTGAAGGTCCTCCTCTGCAAATACAAAATATCAATTGATTTACAGATGTTCAATCCTTCATCTTACTGAAGCCCAGCTTTGGATAGTTATTAGAGACGTACAGTCACTGTAACTTGGAGAAATCAGTGCTGGGTAAAAACCATCACCCCTGCCAACTGATGTGTCAGAGTCAGCCCCCAAAGCAAGACAAACCAACCACATGCTTCTTTTATCATTACTGCGCCAGGGTCGGTGGGAAGCAGCTCATTCATTTGCTCCACTTTTGGCCCGGGCTCTAAATGGTGTGAAGGACACTGTAGACCTGATGGCTGCCATAGAGACTGCCTTTCAGGGGTGGTATTCACATCTTCTCTACCAGTTTGCAAATGTGAGCGCACTCATGCTTCGCTGGCAAGCACCCTGTCAGCACATGCGCTGAGCTTTCTGTGCATGCGCTTTGGCTAAAAAATAAGGGTCTAAATGAGATAGCATAGAGCCGGGGTTGGTGGGCAGGGCCACCCGCAATTTCCACTATCGGTTCGGGTGAACCGCTATGAACCGGCAGAAACCACTAATAGCAGGCAGAAAGTATAGTATATAACCTGTTTAAGTTGTGTCATGGGGCAACCCATGTTTCACCACACATTTTGTTCCAAAATGACTTCTTACTCTTCATTAAAACAGCCCATCATTTTGTGATTTCCGTCACATTAAGGAATTGACTTGCAATTCTAAAAGTAGTCACAGTAGGGTGTTTTTTTTGGGGGGGAGGGGGGAAGCCTCATGGGGTATCTGGGAAACTAAAGATGAACTTAATGAATAGCAGAGATATGGAGTCTGTGTGAGCTCAGAGCAAATTTTACTTGGCTCCATCCAGAAAGCAAACAGCCATGCAGTTATTCCTAAGTGAGGGAGTCTAAATGAAGGGGCATTATAAGATTGCTGCAACAGCCTGTCAATTGGAGCTTCTATTCTTCCAAAGAAGTGTATTTCAACGCTGCCGTGTTTTAGCTCCAAGCAATTCAGCAGTTTGTGAACTTCATCCTGCTTAATAAAAAAGAAAAGCTCTTTTTTTAAAAAAAAAAACAAGGATCATGAAGCACCTATATTGATTGTCTTTCTCTGAGTCATCCACATCAAGTGAGAAAAGAGTTCAGTTAGCATATTTCATCAAGTCTGAGAGGATGTTGATAATTTACCTCTGCATTGTTCCACATAGTGGGCATCACAGCAGCAAGGATTAATAGGATTACTCTGCACCAGCAATCCATTTTAAACATGCTCTAATCTCATGGAACCTCTAATTTCAATGTAGAATAGAAAAAGAGTTGGAAGGGATCTTGGAGTCTTCTAGTCCAACCCCTGCTTAGGCAGGAAAACCTACACCAAAGGTGGGTTGCTACCGGTTTGCACTGGTAGTGGCAATTATGACTGGGTCACCGAACCAGTAGGGAAGGCGGCTGGCCAAGCCCCTGAACCGGTTCCTCGGTCGCCCATGCTGTTGCCGGCATATATTTTTTTGTCATTTTCTAATGTTCTGTGCATGCACAGAACAATTTACTGGCAACTGTGCATGCACAAGCAATGTGTGGCATGCGCACACGTGAGTGAAGTGAGCAGCACACACCCAAGCAAACTGGCAGTAACGCCAGCAGCAATCCTCCCCTGCCCTGCCCTGCACCATTTCAGACAAATGGTTAGCCAACATCTTCTTGAAAACTTCCAGTGTTGGAGCATTCACAACCTCTGGAGGAAAGTTGTTCCACTGATTAATTGTTCTAACTGTCAGGAAATTTCTCCTCAGTTCTAAGTTGCTTCTCTCCTTGATTAGTTTCTACCCATTGTTTGTTCCTGTCCTGCCCTCAGGTGCTTTGGAGAAAATCTATACAGTTGTATAGATTATGTTGCCCTTCCGTCATAGAGAAGGGGTGAAGCTGAACAAGGATTGCCAACTTCTTTCAAAAAAACATTTTTGGACAAATGAGTTCACTTATTCCTCTTAGGGTTTGCATCAAACTTTCTCTTTTATTATTGCAAAATATTTGTGGTTTTTTTTTACACTCGCTCTGAACCATATGGACTATATAATCTTCTATCCCAATTTCTTCTTATTCTTTTAGTTTTTTAAAAATTAGTTTCCAACTTCATTTCTACCAACAAAAGCCAATAGAAACATGCGATGGAAACCTCTTGAGTATTTCCTTCTGCTTTCATCAGATTGAATATTTATCAAGAGTAATCAGGATAAACCTGCATATGATATACTTAGGTGGTTTTTAAAAAAATGAAATAAATTTAAAAAGAACTCCAAGTTTTCAGTAAGCGAAGAAGAGATTGGTATCTGGACCACGAGGAACCAAAATGAACTGTTAGAGTTTTTATCTTTGGTGTACCTTTCTTCCTAACCTGAATGGTATTGCTCCTCTTGCATTTCAGCCACATTAGTAGAAAATGCAATTTAATCTACTGTAGCATTCTGAGAGTCAAACTGTCCCACCTGAGGATCACAAAAGCAGAAAACCCCAAATTGTAGCATAAAATAGATCATATGGCTACGATAAACTCATTATAGATACAGACAAGCCATCACTTATTCAAATGTACAAACAACCTTTTGGGAAGTACTGAGCTAGACAGCGAGGACTTTACTTACTTCCCCTTATTTTTAATTACATTTTCCCCAACTTAGTGGCCTCTGTATATGTTGGCATGGGTAATCCCCATCCTGATGGCCAATTTCTAGCTCCAAAAGGCCAGCTGTTCTTAAGGAGTCACAAGTATAACACTGCATGCTACCAGCTTCCCGGATGGTGATAGTGAGCTCACCGTAGTAAATCCCTATTTTTGGAAGAGGATATACTGTAAGCATGCCAGAATCAGTTCCAACGTTTGCAAGGTGGCAGTCGTCCATTTTAATCTTTGCTTTCTGTATGTGTCAAGCCCCATTTCGATCCATGTAGTAGTAATCCAGTTGGGCGTCTGGTCTCCAGTTGCTTCCACATCATTTCTTCAGTCCGTCAAGGGCCCCCCAGTGATGTCTTCTGGATGGTTCCATTTCCAACATGCTTTCTCTCTCTCTCTCTCTCTCCCTCTCTCGGCCTCCACCCTCATCATGAACTGTGACTCGCTGCATGTGTTTCCCATCATTAGGAGAGAAACCTTGTCAAGGTCATTTTTTTTAGAAAGAACAAATGACTCTGTTAAAAGAGATTTCTTAACCAGGAAAAAAAAAAGAAGAGAGGGGGAGAGAAAGGAAAAATAAATAAATAAGTGGCAGACGAGGCAACTGCTTTTCCAATTTTCCTTCTCTCAAGCAGCTCTTCTCAGGAGCAGAGTAGAGCAAGGCCATCAGTTGCTAAATTCACTTTCTCTTTCTTTCTTTCTTTCTTTCTTTCTTTCTTTCTTTCTTTCTTTCTTTCTTTCTTTCTTTCTTTCTTTCTTTCTTTCTTTCTTTCTTT